TCCGCGTGTAAATAAAAATCATCTTTTTGCAGTGACCGATGGGAAATGATGGCTAACACTCACTTAGATTCAAGAGGAATTCTGGCTACGGTACATTCTGTAATCGAACTCACATCTACAGAAAGAATCAAGACCATAAAAGTATGAATTCTCATCAATACAGAATCTCGAAAATCGTCCAAAAAGTCATAGAAAGTAAGGTAAAAATTCTTTCAAAATTGAAATAACATAAGATCAGACATTGAAAGTGATGTATGATTTCGTCTCAAACTCCCTGCTTAAAGAACGCGATGAAGTGATAATAGTTAATGTGAATCCTTACATATCTTTCTCCATAATACTGTGCCAGACCTTGAAAGGGTGAGAACATCGATCCGAAGAACGTTTGCATATCTTTATAGCGAAGTGGCTTTTCGTTAAGTCCAGGCGTTAACCTGAAAGTTTGTGATTCTTTAAAATTAAAAAAAGCATTTGCTCGATCGCTCATACTTCTTCAGAGAGATGCTGTTTCCGCTAGAAAAAGTTCAAAGATCAGCGCAGTTTTGAAACGAATCGGCATCAGTTCAATAATATAGAAGCTGTGATAAGCAGCGTGGAGATATTGACGGATTCTACCACTCTGTTCGCGTGGATCGTGCGACCAAAGTAAATCTTGATTTAGCTAACAGATGCGGATGTGTTTTATTAGCACAAATTTAGAAGGATCACTGAGGTGTTGGTCACACAACTCAGATTGAGGTATAGGTCACACAACTCAAAATATTGATGGGCAGAGTAATCATTTCCCGGCAGGCTTCAATCGACTCGGTTCAGATGGTTCACCTTGCTGTGCATTACCTTGTATCCCTCAGATTCCGTTTAGATAATAGTTCAAACAAATTTCCCCTATCGCACGCTATAAATAGTGTGAGGATCTCATGAGTGTTCTATGGTCCCCACAGATAGTTACGCTTTGCTTCCTAATCATGTAAATGTGAATAATCTATTCCATACGCAATGCATACTTGAATGTTTCAGTGAGATTCTTTCGTCCTTCTTTTGTCCATATTAATTCGGACATTGCATTGAAAGCTTCTCCTATCGCAGAGGCGCATGGCTCACTATTGGAACGAATGTCCTTTTGAACCACTTCAAGATACTCTGTAAACACGCAAAAGAATTAACTCATTACAATAAACGGAATTTACGATTGCAACACAGGTAAATGCTGCACCTATGCATTTTGTCGTGCAAAATGCATCTAGCGATCTATTGATAAATCGCTCTCAAATCAACGAGACGCAGTTAACGAATTACTGTAGGGATGAACTGAGCGGACACGGAAGTTTCTTTCTTTTTTCAGACAACTTCCTTTGTTAATCATACCGCGTTCACACAGGTACGCTGCTCAAAAGCAGCAACTGAGTCCAAATCTCTGTACA